GAAGTATATTAAGAATACGTTATATATATATTAAACGTACCTAGCTATCTACTTCTAGCAAGTTATTCTATTATTAGGTATAATAGTGTCTCTTAGACTTCTAAGTATATTCTCTACCTTAAGTATAATTTTAGAATAATAATAAGCCTTAAGTAGCTTAGTAAGTGTAGTATAATACTTAATACTTATATAAATATACTTCTAATATTATATAATTATATTTAAGAAAAGTAAAGAGAATATATACTCTTTATATTTCTAGACCTTTCTATATTAGAACTAGATTATATTAGAAATATATTAATATTACGTTCTTAGGCCTTTTATATTAATAGCTTTATCTAAGATATTTTTCTATATTATATAAGTAAGTAGTAGATAGATAATATATGCGTAGCTACCTAGTGTACTTTTAGACTATATTAGTATACTTATAATATACTTATATAATATTACTATTAGGTCTAGACTACTATTACTACTTATAGAGAGTAGAATAAAGTTCTTCTAAATTATATTAAGAACGTAATATAAAGATATTATAAGTAGTATATAAGTTAAATTAGCTTAGAGTTACTCTTCTTACTTAGTATATTATTAGCTATTCTAAAGTCTAAAAAGGCTATATCTAGATTCTTAAACGCGTTCTTAAAGAGTAGTAAAAGTACTTTAAGCTACTTAGCGTTAAATACTAGTAGAGAGAGTACTAGCGCCTCTATAGTTTCTATAAAAATAAAATATAAATATATTATTAATATATTCTAGAGCTAGATTTTAGTTTTCTTCTATATGTAGTACGCTAAGCTATATAGAGAATAATTCTATCTAATCTAACTATTACTTATACCTTATTCCGCCCCTAATAACTCTAACTAGCTAGCGGCTATAGTTACCTACAAAAATCTAATAGTTAGATAAGGTGTAGCCACGATAGCATAGCACGAAGCAAGAGAGTCATCCGCAGGTGGGTCGTTCACCAACCCCGACACACCTTGCTACGCAACATTGTCATCTTCGCATAACAATGAGTCTCTTGTGGATTTTGGGCTGGGCATCCGCAACGTATGGCCGAGTAGCAATCTTGCAATCTTGGCGCAAACTTCTTTATCTAGGCCGATGATCTTCGCAAGGTTGTCATTGCCTCCTTCATGTGCGGCCTTGAAACGCTGACTGTCCGGTCGTCAGATGGCATGCGGGTGTATTATGTGGGCACTACCTGGGTGATTCAAGGCAATGTCTCAGTTTCGCCTCTCGTCCGCCAAAGAACAAGCAATTTCCGGATATCACAACGCAGAAAGCTCTGTACGAAGCGAACACGCTGTCCGGCTGATAGCGTGCGTGCGGCATCTGAACGGTGGCTTACGGTGTTTCGAAATGTCCGAATGTCCAGAGACGCACGACCCCACCAGCAGAACACCGGCTTCTTGTGCAACCGCGGTCCCGGGCGTGGGGACCTTCAGCAACATCGACCACGAACGCCTAGTCGGCGCGAAACGCACAAGAGTGGCAGCACACTACGAAGAAGATGGCAGGGGCAACGCGCGCCTATTGCGCGATTCGGGCGGTCCAGCCGCGACACCTGGGCATACATGCACTGAGAGGCTGCACGGCGAGGGTGAGGTTGAATTACAGGGTCCAATAACAGCTAACACCGCTGACTACGAGGCTGTTGCTAGCCTACACTTTCCGATCGATGTACTCAACGCTTAGCTCTAATACTTGGACATCTTTTTCTGCTATCTACAGATTTGCCCCAGAGGTTTCCGCCAATCCTCCCTTCGCTGCTTGCACTCGCACCTAGACTCACTATGCCACGCTGATCACAGCCTCAGCTTCTTCAGTACCGTCGGTTCCATGCTCAGTGCTCTCGTCTTCTCCTTCCATGACCTTGTCGTCCTTGCAGGCCTTCCTCCAGCGCTGTTCAGCTTTCTGCAAGCCCTGAGTAATCAGCCCAGAAGGACACTCCTCGGTAGACCAATCCTCGGATACGATGTGAACAATCTTCGCTGGCGCCTCATCGGGCATGTTGATGAGGTTTTGAAGCCACTTCTGCACCTTGCGGTTTTCGGGGATGAAGACCTTGAGTCCGGCCGCTGACTTCCCATCCTGTCCGTTCTCAACAGGAATTGCGGATGCCGCCCAAGGTAGCTTGCGCCATCCTGGCCACACCTCTGGTTGTATAAACAGATTGACAGACTCATCGACCTGCATATACTCCCTAAGAGCGTTCACGTACACCATGTCGACGTTGATGACGAGTTTCTGGAGAGAGGGCATCGCAATCAGAGTGTTGATTATGCGCTCGAAGTGCCATGGCTTTTGTCCGCCGCGTGCGTCGGTTTCTGGATAATAAATCTCCATGTCAACGTTGACCTTACGCATAAGATTCAATGGACAAGGGCCGTAGCGAGGGGTACCATCGCATGCTTTTGAACGGCTCATGAGCTCCAGGAATCGATGTGCAAGCTGTTCGCCACCTATGAGATGTCCTTCCATAGCGGTCTCTGGGTAGGAATCGCCATCCTTGATCTCGAAGTAGTTTTCGCTGTAGAAAATGGGCTTCGCAATTTCGTGCATGACTTTGTCGACTGCTAGCAGCGCTAGCATGGTTACAGGAGGTTCCATTGTCCAGTAGTAATGAGGCTGAGCGTTTTTGGTGTTGGAAGGAAGCATGAGCTTCGGCATCTTCAAAAGTGATGAGAATTTGTATACAGTCAGGTCCATGGCTTCGGAGTGGCTCAATTCCCGAAGCCAATGGTCAGGGCGCCAGCTTTCATGAGGGAAGATGGTAGCATGGATCCTGACTTTGGTGGGAAACAACAGCACCAGTCGGGCGATTTTTCTCTTGATCTCCGCCGGGAGCGCGCTGAAGTAATCGCGTGCGGTATGTTGATTAGGTCCTGTGTTCAAATTCGCGTTGGGGTGCATGATCTGTGTGTCGTAGAATTCGGCGAAGATGTCGTTTTCCATGCCCGGAGGTAGTGTGTAGACGATCTGCTCCGGTCCAGTTCCTGCACATTGGTGTTTGTTCATTTCATTGCTGGCTTGTTCAGCCCAATCATCCCAGGGTTTGCCGTAATCGTAGTCGTAGCGCACCTCGCCCTCCGGATCTTTCTCCTCCTCGGTCATCTCAGCGCCAACTCCACTTGCCCAGGCTGACCAGAGTGTGTCGTCCTCCATATTGGCTGAAATGCTTGGCTCTGTTCGGAGCTGATTATGGCTCTCGGGCGGGAACTTGACTTCGTATCGGGAATTCTCTTCAAGCATGTCAGCTTCCATTGCAGCGATCAGCTGTTTGGAGTAAGCCTCCATTGCTTCTTGAGTTCGGAAATAACCTCGCTGAAAGTGGAGCAGCTCGGTAGCACGTTGGAACATCTCCGCTTTGGTCGCCTTCCGAGACTTAAGCAGCAAGAGTGTAAGAGTGATCATTTCAGTGGCCGTGATCTTCATTCCCTTGCCCCTGTGAGAATACATGTCGTGAAGAAAGACACCCAGTCGTGACTCCGGCTTCAGCGCTTCTGCACGGAAGTCACCCTCGTGTGGCGCACCCGGGAGGAAATGGTCGAACTTCTCGGCGTTAAAGTGCTGTTGGACCAACAGGTCTTGACGCGACGCCAATCTGGAAGGTTCCTCGGCCATGGTGTTGCGGAGGAGGTGTGTGATGGTGGCTGCTGCGGGCGTACGTGTTGCAACTGGCTGGGTATTAGTGTCGCATCTCAAATGAGCGAATGTCTGCCGTACGGTGTCTTCTTGTTGATCTCAGGGCTAGCCGCTAGATACCAGAGTATCTCCAACGCAGCTGTTCGTGCGATACTGATCGTATACCCCGCTAATCGCAGAGCTACGCGGTAAATGCACGAAGTGCTCGCAGACAGGCGTGGTTACCAAATGGGCTATCCTGCGTACGTTCAAAGGCGTGAAGGTAATCGCCGTCGTCTGTTTGAGAAGCGAGTCCAATCTTGCGGTGACCTGCCCAGAATATGAGTCTGAAAAGTCGATGTCGCGTGGCCAGGCAAAGTCTACGCACGTCCTCTACCTAGCCACTAAAGTAAGCCCTCACTCGTCGAGGCACGCGGCGTACCCCTGTTCCGAAGATCGGCTTGCTTCTCCCTGCAACGACAGTGAAGAACGACGTCTACTGGGCATATAATTTCCCGTTTGGGAGTATAGAGGCGTTCAAGGTCTTGGTGGCCTTAGCAACTTCCCATGACGTGCTGTCACGGGATGATCGCAAGGATTTGTACGAACTCAACGCGGTTAGGCATCTCTATGAGCTGCCCGATATCGATCGAAGATGCCGGACCACTCATGAGGCAGCTTTGCAAACTGCATCCTCATCTCATAGCGGGCTTTGATTTCACTCTTTCGGTAAGAGCAACTCCCCTTCTAGACTCTGTAGCAACCATGGATAATGACAACACTTTTTTCTCCCGTGTGCCAACCTTCCTCATTACGATTACCTGCATGCGGTGTCTGTGACATGTAAAGGACGACGTGAGATGCGCAGTTTGATGTGCGACAGTTCCCAGATCAAACTACCTGTTCACATAGAACGAGGAGTGCAGCAGGTCACAATACATCTGTACTGTGACATGGGCCTATCGACGGTCGGCTCGGGCGTCAGTTTTCTCTGATATCGGTTCTGGGAAGCAGATGAAAGATCATCTACACATAGACAAACATTCCATCATTCCGTGATCGCTGAACCCGATCTCGGTGGGCCGTGACTCACCAGTCGCATCTCAGGGTCTTCTTTATGGAGGCGACTTTTTGGCCTTCATGTAACGCGTCACCGAAAAGTGAAAACGCACGTGTCTGATACGCTCATGCACTGAACGTGTTTTCGGCTTGCGACCCCACTCCACTACCACCTCTTCGAGACACCTATATCTGGAGATTTGTATATTGAACAGGCTCCGACTCGGGTAGGTTGACATCAGCCAGCGCTTCTCGTGCGACTCTTGACTTATCGACATCTTCTAGTCACTTTCCATTCAACCATGTACGGCCCAGGACGCCTGCACCTGGGCAAGGCGGCGGTCGGCACGCACTTGCTGCTACTGCTGATACTCTTCGCTGCAACATGTCTTCCCCCTACTGGCTACGATCTCCACCCGGTTTCGCAGCGAGGCCCGGCGTCGTTTGCGGACGAAGCCGCGATCTTCAACTCTACAGCCACGGTATGCAATCCTCCGCGGCGGACGTGAACGTCGCAACTAACAAGTCGTAGATTATCGCGATGGCGCCAGTGTATTCAGGATCCCATTCAGTAGGTACTACTGTGATCGCGTCCACAGCTTCCACGTCTCTCACTGAGTCGGTCCAGGTCGGTCAAGCCTTGTAGAATCCGAAGTCCACCAGCTTACAACATGCGCAGATCCTGACGACAGTCAACCCCTCGTGTGAGCATGAGGCGGTCGCCGAGCTCCTGACTCCACGCGGTGGCAGCCCGACGACCATGCTGCCTAGTTGGACAACAACTGCTGCAACCCCGGTCTCAACGCCTACTCCCGAGGATCTTCCCGACGCACCGCCAGACCTCCCCGCCTTCCCCTTCCCTGAGTTGGGCTTAACCACGGACGACCCCGAATTTACCTGGCTATCACCGCTCACGCCGTACTCCTTTCCCGACGAGTTCCAGGAACGCTACGGAGGGCTACTCGCGGGCTACCGAGGCGACGACCTGTCGGATCCAGAGGATGACGACGTTTGCGACTTGGATGAGCCTCAGCAGCAAGGTTATACAGGAGGTATGCCTTGGGTCCAGTTCTCGGATACGTCTGCCTCAGATCGCCTTGAAGATACTCAAATTGTAAGTCAACAGCATGGTCGGCCTCCTACGTCTCACTGACAGCAACTAGTACGAGCAGCCAAGGTTCACCATCAACCCAACAGTGATTGATCCGCGGGTCGGCATGTCTGTGCCGCCGGCGGACATGCACTTTCCGTTGGATGTATGCCCTGCACCTCGACCTCTTACTACTTCTCACACTACCTTTTCCCAAATTTTGTCGACGACCAGCAACGCGGTTCCGACCCCAAACAACGCACATGCCGGACCTGGCTCTAGCATCGATAGGATACCCAATGAGATAATGCTAGAGATCTTGAGGTATATTTTGGTATTCCCAGGCCAAGCGGTCCGCATGAGCGAGTCAAACCACCCGACTGGAGAACCCGTACTTCAAGTCGCGACTTCAGGACAACCCACACACAATGACCTCCGCCTACCACCCCTACGAGACCTTTTGGCCGTAGCTGCGACGAATCTACGACTCCGCCGCTTCGCTTTCGACGTATTCTTTGGACATAACACCTTTGACCTGACCTGCGGGAATATCCTTTACCGAAGGGCTCTTCAACGGAATCCTCTTCGATGGATCAGGGGTGTACCTATACTATACCAAGAGTCGCTAACGCATGTCGAAATATCCATCTACTTGGGCTTGGGCCCGGTAACCTACCAGGAGATGAGGAGGATAAATACCGAGAGCATGATTAGGGAAATTGGAAAGAGCCACACACTGCGGTCAGTAACAATCAAAGTGCGAGTCCCTTATGGCATACAATCTCTTACGCCTGCCGAAGGGCGACAGAGGTTTCTCCAAATGCCTGAACTCGACCTTCTCAGTCGTCTTCGCGGGGTGGACCACTTGGTAGTACAGGCCCCTTTCGCACTTGGAGCGCCCGAGACTGTACGGCTGCAGCAGTGTCTGGCAAAGCCCAAAGGGAGGCGCGGCAGGGGCGATCAGCCACATCTCTACCCAGCTCTAGCTCTACACCCATTGAGTAGCGACACTCTGGTGAGGAGGCCTTGGTCAGAATTAGACTCCGAACTGGAGTCCTACGGTGAAGATCCTGCAGATTTCTCGACCAAGATCTCCAAGGCAAAGAAACTGGAACGTTTGAGGCGGCTCGACTGGAAGAACCCAGATGAACCGGACGTGCCTTGAGTATCCGCTTGGTATCGGGAGCAACTGACCGTGTCGCGCTCTCTCGACGTTCTGATGCAGATAGACGGTATCTTGTAATAGAACCACATGTATGACCTCTTGGCCTTGTGATCTGCCTGAACGTCTTGTCTTTGACTGAGCGTAGATGGCGACTTCTATGCAATCCAATCGTGATATGAGAGTGACTGTTGCTAAATGATGACCAGTAGAGACTCCAGATCTACGGAGACAGTTGCTGTCTCGTTGAAGATTGTGCATCCTCTCAAGTTGAATGGGATGAGCTTCTTGGAGAATGCAGTAAAATGCCGGGCGCTTTGATTTGCCTTGAGCCCGAGATTCTTCTCTCACGTCTTCAAGTGATCGCGTAGCTTTGCAAGCGTTTGAGGGCGGGCTCCATCCGGGCGCTAAAAGTGACCCTTAAGTTGGAGTGGCCGTTTGTTGTTGTGAAAGCTGCCCGCGAAAACTTCAGTCGCAGCTTCTCCGCCAACTTCACCAATCCTTTCAACATCACCCACAATCTCTCTTCTTCTGGCTTCTGCTCTCCTACCACACATTTGACACCATCCTCGAGTCCAGCTGCGGCGCCTGATCGAGTACCTTGACGGAAAGTAATCTCTCCGCACCTCCTCTCCCGATCGCAGTACGTCCTCGGCGCACCTCGACTTCCCCACCCTCGTCTGCATCACAGAAGATGCCGTCCTCCTCCTCGCTCCCTCCTGCCGCTGCGAAGCAGCTCAGCAGTACCAACGTCGTCGTCGCGAGTATCTCCCCGCCGACGGCCGCGGGCCCAAACCAACCTCCTCGCGGGCTTCTGGCTTTGCCCACCGAGATTCTCCTCACAATATTCGAATACGTACTGGTAGAGGAGGACAGGCTATCGCCAAGTTTAACAAGGTCTCGGAGGGTGGAGCCTGTATTGCGGGCACACCCCCGCATCCTCTCGACACAGACTGAGCCTCCCAAGGCGAGTCCCCTCAAGCCAATGCTCGAGATCTTGAGTATAGGCTTAGTCGCAAAGCGGCTGTTTCCAGTCGTGCGAGAGGCCTTCTTTGGAAAGAACCGCTTCGACTTGTCCTTCGGCCAGAAGTGGCTAAGCGGCGTCCATCCAGATCTCCAGACCCTCATCCACGACGTTGAGATATGCGTCTCGACCTTCGGCACGAGCCAGTTCCCGCGGTCAAGCGTTGACTTCTCCCAACATCAATTGAAGATTAGGAGACTACGCGTACTAATCTCTGCCCGCGCGTTCGAGCGGCACGTCTACGTCTACCACCCTAGACAACAAGGAGGACAGACACCTTGGGAGCAAGTTTTTCGCACTGCCCCTGAAGTTCGTGCTCTCAGCAAATTGCGTGGCGTTGGGGAAGTCACGGTCGACTTCAAATATCCTTCTAGGTTGCTGTTCACTCCGCCAGGTCCAGATTGGTTGTTGGCGCAGGCAATCTGGCTCAAGAATACCATGGAGCAGGATTAGGGGTGTGAAGACGCCGGTGTAGATTAGAACAATGCATGAGCTGCAGTCAGGCAGTATGTCCTCTTCCTCCATGATAGCCGTGCGGCTGCAAAATGACACCTCTGGATAACCAGAGACGTTCATCGCATCGCCCCGTGATCCAAGATTCCACAAGTGAACTCCTTTCCTCGAATTGTTACTCGGAAAAGTCTGAGAACGGCCCTGCTCGTGTCTGGAAGCTTCCGCCGAACGGTAGAGGCTCGGAAGCCGCCCCTCTCACCGTCACTTCCTCATTCCTCATCGAGCATTGCCTGGGTGACCATTGGCTGACTACGCTAGCACGCTCAAAGTCTTGGCGCAAGGTCAAAAGGCACAACAACTCTGTCCCTCTTCCCCTCCTTAGCAACGACACTCTCACATCATCATCACAATGCGTTTTGCTCTCTCCCAGTCAGACGATTTCCTCGCCCGCCACGACCTCGACCGCTCCATGCTTGAGAGCCTCGTCGAGAACGAGGAACGCTTCCTCGCCGACGCCCGTGAGAAAGCGAGAACCGCCCCCCGTATCAATGCTCTTGGTCTCGCCGCGCGCAACGAGATGAGGGATCGAGACCTGGCCGAATTCGGTCCTGCCGCGTTCCCCCCTTCTTCCTTCTTCGAGACCACCGGATCTCTACGTCCTCGCGTGTCACCGCCAACTGGTCAACAGCCTGCTCCCCCAGCGCCTACATCGGGTGTGTGGGAGTACTATCAGGCTTCCGTGGTCAATGCGACCAGTACGTACTGGTCGTATGGTGCTAAGACTGGTGTAAGTACTAACCCCTCTCCATATCACTTAGTGACTGACTAACATGTTACAGTGCGTCAAGAACAGCGACGCCCTCAAGGATGCCAAGGAAGACGGCAAGCGCGTCTACACGAAGCAGCCGGATGGTCAGTTCCGCTGGGCGGCTTTCCAGCAGTGCAGCCCGAGCACAGTTGCGGGCTTCAAAGGACTACATCAGATGGTGCGAGCCGTTGGAGGCAACCCTGCGAACTTCGGTTCCAGGATTGAGATGGCCGAGTACGTCATCGCTCGGGAGGCACCTGTCAGTGTCGTCCAGGAGGAGGACGAGGGCGAGATCTACTCGGGTACCTTCCCGGTCCACTTGGGCCAGCCAGCGTCCCAGAAGTTCTGGGGTGTTGGACAGTTGGGCAACGGCACGCTGACCATGGCGGCGACGACCCAGGGTGCGATGGAGAAGGCGACGAAGGGTGCATTGGAGAAGTTGGGTGGATGAAGGGGTTTTGTGTGGTCTCCGGGTTCATGAGCATTCAGCGTCGGCGTTTGTGGTTGCTGGCCCTCGACAGAAGACATCTTGTCGATGGAGGAGCTGGCCGCTTGGTATCAGATAAACCAAGCAATATGAAGACATGTCCTCCCATTATCCTTCTTTGAAAACCTGCCCATGAACCTTTTGTGATACAAGCCACTTCTGTTGTAGGTGTCTTTCTCGATTCTCCGGGTATTGACATTGACGTCTCATGACATCTGCCCGGAGTGCGTCTGAATGTCCGCATCATGTTTCATGCGAATCCCTGAGAACACTGAAGTCGACTGTACCGACGGCATCGTCAGGAGATAGCGCTCGGGCCTTACATTCTGGCGTAGCAGTGTTGTTCGTCCAGTGCGTCTGGGTCTCACTTTTCTCGACAACCGCACCACGATCTGCGCGCCACTCACAACACACGAAACGATCCTCGGTGCCCTCCGCTCTCTTTCTCAGATCATAAGCGCAGCCGTTGAGCTCTTCGCAAGCAAGGCGTCATCGGCGCTGTGCACCGCACCCGTCGGCGCTGAGGCAGATCAGCACACCCCGCACTCGACTCCCGTACACGACAACTGCACCACCGCCTTTTCAACAGCCAGTAGAGATCTGCGATACGGTATCTGTCCTGCAGGTTGATCGCCATCTCCACGTCGAGCCCGCCGACAACCTGCGAGCTCCCGCCAGACCACGACAGCCACACCAGAGTCGCCGGCAGCACTCTGAACGCGATCAGCACGTCGAGACTCCCAGATCGAACGCGATGACGCCAGGTACGGACGCAGAGGTCGCTTCCGCGTTCCAGTTCTTCTCCTCGAGACTGCCAGAGGAGATATTCTTGCAGATTCTCAAGCACCACCGCGCCAACCACATCCAAGGTGTGCTTGTTTTGGACTACAACGGCTTTCCCATTCCCGAAAATCCCGCCTTCATTTCCCTGACAGCTTGCGAGGTACACTGGACTGAAGACAAAGGAAGCCAGAGCTACACCCCGCCGGTGGTCCGGCCCCTTGGCTTGGAGGTGGTGCGCAAGGTCTTGGGGATTCGCCGTGTCAACAAGCTCTTTGCGCGTTGCATGCTCGAAGTCTTCTACAAGAGCCCCATGGTGTTTCAGCACGGCCAGTCAAGTGACTTTGGCATAAAGCCTATGTGGTTCCTCCCCTGCCAGATCAAGCCCAAACTCATCGAGCGCGGCGCATCAATCAAAGTTGAATATCGCGACGAGTGGCGGCGCACGTATCTGGGACTCGTAGCAACGGAACATGAGGTTGGCATCGAGTGTACGACAACGGGTATAGACTTGGCTCTCAGCAGGGAGAAGCAAATGCCGACCATAAACGATGAAGATGCTAAGCTCTTGGCGATGGACCCCAACAGGATGTTTGTCCAAACTTCCAATGGCCTTCTCATTCGGGGTATACAGTTCACTGGAGGTTATGAGCAGACATCGTGGTTTCTCCCCGAAATATGGAGCGAGGTAACGATCCAAACGTTCTTCGTCCTTCTCCAGCACCCAGATTGGAGCTCAACCGATATTCCTCCTGGCTCATCCTTCATTCTGTCCCTGAAATAGAGAGAGAGACCATGTCGGAGGAGGAGATATAGAGCACTTGTGACGCGATGGTCTTCAGGGTACATAGACTTGGTATTTGGCAAACCTGACGGCAATGCAACCGCTTGGAGGAGGCGTTGGTTACTGGGCGCCGCAAAGGCATGTATAATGATATGCTGCAGCTTAGTCGGAAGAAGCACTCTTGCGCAAGTCTTATTTCCAGACCAATCGTGCGTGCGTGATGTAGAAGAAGCCAGGGGCCGGGTTGCAAGCCTCGCGCCTAGTATTCGACTGATGATCTGTGTCGCTGTATGCAGGCTGTGTTGTCTTAATGATTCTGAAAACCCGTCGTCGTCTGAACTCTGCAGTGACGTTCTAGCGTGGCGACCAAGTTCGATGTTTGTCTGCGTCCGTCTCTCACGACGACTTCCGCCTCCGAACTCTTGATAGCTTCACCACACGAACAGCCACCCACGACCACGTCCTCCTTTTCAGACACTGCGCCGACAGCTCTCTCCACGTAGATTGTGACCGGCACAAGTGCGACAAATTCGAGACGTTTATAAGCACCTCCGCGCCATCGGCCACCTCCGCGGCTTTGTTCGACCATCGCGATCTTAGCCACGACTAAAGACGGCGACAGCCACGACAACAGCTCTTCTCATCGGCTCGCACACCTGCGCCGGGC